TTTCTATGACAGGATCATATATAGCTGTGCAGAGTCAACACAGGGATTGTGCCCTCTGTTCGCCATAAAAACAGGAGACGCATCAATGGCTTAGACGGCAGCCACCAGGGGGTTCACTTTCAGGGGCAGAGTTCGCAAGACCAGCATAGCCCTGCTCCTCAGGTACACCTTGACAAAGCAGGCTCTGTGCCCTGAGAGAGAGGCTCCTGGCGTGCAGTGTGCAGCAGCAAAGACAGCGTGGGACCACACACATCTTTTCACTAGAAAGCACTAGGATGAAACTGTGATTCTTAAACAAAGCAGTGTTCTAAGGAACAAGACTTAGGGCAAACATTTCTGTGGGCCTTTCCCTAGAAAATACACTGACAAGTTACAGTACTTTCAAGTTTAAATCAGAGTGTGTGTATGTGTGTATAAAGACGTGTGTGTTTGTGTGTGTGTCAGAAGCTGTTGCCTAATAGTAGTTAAAACAAAAATACTTAAAATAGACTCAAGAGTCAATATAAGGTTAAACGTGAAAAGCTGACAAAAAGTAGAATTCACAATCCAAAGGTGCAGAGCACAGGGTGAGCAGGGGCTGACTTGCTGGGAACGGAGCTCGGCAAAGCCCCCAAGTACCCCTTGCTAAGCTTAACAGCACCACACACCCCCTGCTGTTCTGGTCTCCAAGTTTAAACAGGTGTCCTTCCTGTATGCCCAAGATCTAGCATTTGCAGACATTAAACACAATTTCTGCTGAATACAAGAATGGGGTTAGTTCCACAAAAAGTCACCTGGAAGATGACCAAAGGGAGGGATAAAGTAATATTTGAGGAAAGATTCTACTAAGTCAGGGTTGGCCAATGTAAGAATGGGTAACAAGATCCGAATACAAGGAAGGATCTCCAATTTGGGGATCACAAAACTGGCTAACATTAGGTCATTAACAGCACAGGGTGGATACAAGAAGCACTAAAGTGATGCAGAATAGCCTAGTGGAATCCATCTTGTAGGGGTTACTAAGGATCCAAAACAACCCTGAGTCTCCTTGACCTAAGATCCTGTCTCAGCCATGCGCCTGTTCTTCAGGCACTGCCCCTGCTGCCCCTGCTGCCCCTGCTGCCCCAGCACAATGGGGATCAGTAAGAGGGCCCCTCCAGAGAGTCCCCAGGGCTCACCCAGAGGAAGAGCTGTCCCTCCTGCTCTTGCTCTATGTGCAGGGACACAGCCGCGCAGTTTCTCAAGGGTACCCCACTTAGGGCTGCACAGAGCAGGTGATCTGAAGCCGGGTCGTCAGAGGGAAGGACCCGGTGTGACCTTTCACTCTCAGACCCTCAGTTCCGTTGGGCTCAGCCACACTTAGCTGGCAGGCTGCCATCAGGTTTCCTTGTGATACGAAGGTAGAAAGGTAGGCATGTAGTAAGTCCGAGCACAAATACGAGCCAAGAGCACTGAACGGCAGGCTTTGAAAGGTACATTACATGAAGAGGTTTTGGAAAGAGCTTGAATTAAAATGTTTTCCCCCAGATTACAAAAAGAGTACCTATTTAATTGATGTGTCAATTGACGCTCAGTGTTAAAAATTCAGAATACATGGATAAAGCACAAAAGTTACCTGTACAAAACCAGGTTTTTGCATGTCCATTCAGACAGACTCCTCAGCGCGTGCGTCACACAATCTGCTCTCCTCACTTAATCCCCTGTCAGGCAATGGGCATCGAGGTTGCCATTTTCAGGGCTGCAGAGGACCCCCCGTAGCCTCCTCCATCAACCCATCAATGTTTAACGAGCCCCCTGTGATGGGCACATTTTCCCTCTATAACTGCCGTTGTGTTAAACCTTCCTGGACTTGAAGGGCCCTGAAGCCATGGCCATCTCTGGCCCTCCTAGACACTATGTTCAATTCCCTGACGTGGTCAGGTGCACACAGACAAGCTGCGACAATGGCGCCTTCTCTTCAGAGCCGCTGTCACAGGGCCTTCCCAGCCTCTACGGTAACAGAGACTCCTCGGAGGGTTTGCAGGCTGCACAGCGGGGTTCATTTTGTTCCTGCTATGTATTTTAAAGACATTTCCCAGGAACCTGCTTTGAAACATTCTTCAAACCACTCTGTTGAGATTTTTAGGAAAAAAAAACCATTTTCGTTGAAATTAGGAAAATGTTGCTAGGAAGTTTGATGACTGTTCCTAGGCTGCAACCCCCTCCCTCGTGTCTGGTCTCAGCCATTCAGAAGTTGCTTCTCACACAAAGCCTGTTGAGACCAAACGGTCAAGTTTTTTCCACGTTTATTCCACACTGCAGTTGCCAAGCATTCCTATTTAAGAACCACTCCATTTTTCTTCTCACAAAATATAAAGGCCATATTTATTGTTCTTCATTTTGTTTTCAATTTCATTCATTTCTGCTATCATCTTTGTTATTTTCTTTGGACACACAGAGTTGTTTTCTAACTCCTTGAGCTGTATTATTTAAATGCTATTTTCAATCTTTTATTTTTACTTATTTTTTTAAAGATTTTATTTACTTATTTGAGAGGTAGAGTTAGAGAAAGAAGGATAGCCAGAGAGAAAGGTCTTCAATCTTCCATCTGCTGGTTCACTCCTCAAATGGCCACAACGGCTGGGGCTGGGCTAGGCTGAAGCCAGGAGTTTCTTTCGGGTCTCCCACACGGGCAGGGGCCCAAGCACTTGGGCCATCTTCTACTGCTTTCCCAGACTCATTAGTAGGGAGCAGGATCGGAAGTGGAGTAACCAGGACCAAACCGGTGCCCATATGGGATGTCGGTGCTGCACGTGGAGGCTTACCATAGCGCCGGACCCAATCTTATTTTTTTAACAGGCATTTTTAAGGTTTTATACCTATCTTGGATTAACTCATTAGCTTTATCCCACAGTTCTGCCAGGTAGTATTTGTGTCACTTGGTTCTAAGTATTTCAAAATTTCCATTGTGGTATCTTCTTTAAACCAAGAGTTCTTTAGAAATATGCCAGCCCCAGAAATATATTTTTTACTTTCCAAACTTATCCCTTATCTTTTTACCTTTGGTTTGCAATTTAGTCAGGCACTGTATTCTGCCTGATAATGATTTTTCTGAAAGTCCTGACCTAGTACACAGTCAAATCAGTAGATACACTCATAGGTTTCTAGCTTTTAAGTCAAGTTGGGTAAATCTTCTGAGTCTTTAATCTCTCTTGTGGCCAGTCCATTCCAGTAAAAAGGTGTTAAGTTCTCCCATGCTTGTGAATTTGCCTATTTCTGCTTTAAGCTCGGTCAGCTTGCTGCTTCAGCACATTTTCTCATTGTATTTCTGTTCTTTGTGGACTACTTACTCCGTTTCACTTGGGTAGTGGCTCTCCTACTCCTACTGAGTTGCCTCATATGGTTGCTGTTGTTGATATTGCTGCTCTACCTCTTCACTGATTGGGATTTGCCTGTGTTTACCTGGTGCCTTTCTCTTCGATTTTTCTGAATCACTTCAAGCTATAACTCTTCTAAGCAGCAAAGATTTGGGTTCTTAAACATTGAAACTGATGGGCTCTCCTTTAATCAGGTGAGTTCAGGCATCTTTTTCTGTGGTGGCACATTTCTATCCTCTCCATTTTCCACTTACCAAACCCTGTTCTCTGCCCGCCCCCACCCCCCACTCCCACTCTGTTGCCTTTCCAGCTTCCTCTCGGATAACGAAATGTTCTATTTCCATTCTGCTCTCTTCAGCTTTCCGATCTGTCACGGTTACCCTCTGCCCTGCATGCAATGCACACAATACACACCATCAGTGCACAGTGACCCCACAGCCCTCAGTGCCTGCAGGCACACCTCTCTGACACAGGGGATTCAGTCAAAACAGGGGGCGGAGGAGGAGACTGGAAATGAAATCAGTGCTTTAGGTCGAGGTAAAATTAGAGCTGTTTTCCTTTAATACCAGGGAGCAGTTTCACTAGTTGTGTAGAAATTTTCTACAAACTTAGTAATTGTCAGAAGAGATTTATGCACAGATAGTCCTATCAGAGAAAATTTCAATTCTTCTTCTAAAAACAACCACGCAGAATTTATTTCTCTGTCTTCCCACTGTTACCAAAGTTTACCTTCATATACGGAGCTTTACTTAGGGGGTTGCAATTCTTCAATTTAGATTATTTATCACAAGGAAGAACTGGAAATAATCCAAAAACCCATCAAGGGAGAAGCTGGTACTACAGAGTACCTATCAGACGTCCATACAACATTTAGACACGGATCACACAGTCAGGAAGATGTTCAGTAAATAAAACAGGACACAAAACACCACCTGTGTGAAGCCTGTGACTACGTGCAAGGGAAGGAGAGAATGCGCCGTGGAGAGCCTGCAGGATGACAAAACTGCCCCTTGAAGCAGCTTAAGTTCTTTTCTCTCTCCCTTTCCTCTTTTTTGGCATTTTACTCATGGTTGTTGTCATCATCTTCTCCTTCTTCTTTTTTAAAGAAAACCTAACTTTCAGTTCCTAACAAGGCCTGAACTTATTTCTCAGACTTTTTAGGTTAACACAAATCAGATCGCTGTGGTAAGTTCATATTCACTACATAAATGTATGACTGATTTCATTTCCTGGCAGTGAGATGCACTTGGAAAAAACGCACACACACACAGAAAAAAAAAAAAAAAAAAAGTCCAACTGAAATTCAATTTAAAGCCAAGCCTAACGGCCATCAAAAATGTGGGGTGTTTTACACAATTGTATTCTTAACCAGACAATGATTCAGAAAAGGAAGGGGAATTTCTTCCTAAAAAGTCAGTGTTTTCCCGTTCCTCACAAAGCTGCACCTGCCCTGGTTGGAGGGCTCTGCTTCCTCTGCCAAAGCCATCAGATGGAGAGAGAAAAAAATGTGATTGTCATTCTCTCATCTTCCTGTTAGCATGCATGCAACATACCATTTTTCACAGGTTCTTGAGGCTAATGCGTATCTTGCAATTTCAGAGGGTGAACTATTGCTATGAATTCTATGTGTTTTTATTTAAATGGACCCTTTTTTGGATTTTCTAGAGATCTCAACCACCACACCACTGGATATAAAAATGGCGGACAATTTTACTACGCTCTCTGTAACTGCCCAGAGCAATGACTGTGACCTGTACGCTCACCACAGCACAGCCAGGGTGCTAATGCCTCTGCATTACAGCCTGGTCTTCATCATCGGGTTGGTGGGAAACTTGTTGGCCTTGGTCGTCATTGTTCAAAACAGGAAAAAAATCAACTCTACTACCCTCTATTCTACAAATTTAGTGATTTCTGATATACTTTTTACCACTGCTTTGCCAACACGGGTAGCCTACTATGCGCTGGGCTTTGACTGGCGAATTGGCGACGCCCTGTGTCGGGTCACTGCTCTAGCATTTTACATCAACACCTATGCGGGTGTGAACTTCATGACCTGCCTCAGCATTGACCGCTTCTTCGCTGTGGTGCACCCTCTACGCTACAACAAGATGAAAAGAGTTGAACATGCAAAAGGCGTCTGTGTATTTGTCTGGATTCTCGTATTTGCTCAAACCCTCCCACTACTCATCAACCCCATGTCAAAGGTGGAGCCTGAAAGGACGACATGCATGGAATATCCAAACTTTGAGGACATGAAGTATCTCCCCTGGATCCTGCTGGGTGCATGCTTCATAGGATATGTGCTTCCACTTGTCATCATTCTCATCTGCTATTCCCAAATCTGCTGCAAACTCTTTAAAACTGCCAAACAGAACCCACTAACGGAGAAATCCGGTGTAAACAAAAAGGCTCTCAACACGATTATTTTTATCATTGTTGTGTTTGTTCTATGTTTCACACCTTACCATGTTGCAATCATTCAACACATGATTACAAAGCTCCGTTTGCCTGAGCCTCTGGACTGCAGCCAACGACACTCGTTCCAGATTTCTCTGCACTTTACAGTATGCCTGATGAACTTCAACTGCTGCATGGACCCTTTTATCTATTTCTTTGCGTGCAAAGGTTACAAGAGAAAGGTTATGAAGATGTTGAAACGTCAAGTCAGTGTATCAATTTCCAGTGCTGTCAGGTCAGCTCCTGATGAGAATTCTCGTGAAATGACAGAATCGCAGATGATGATACATTCCAAGTCTTCAAATGGCAAGTAGAAAGGATTACATTCCGGATTATAGCAAGGTAAACTGCACGAGGAACTCTGCTGGACTTTTCATGAGAAGCAAAATGACCATTCACCTCTCAAGAAGGATTCCTTCCAATTCTTTTCACTGGGCACTATTTCTCACCTCCAACTTGGAAGTGAAACTGATACACACACATACATGTATGTGTGTGTACATTTATATATATGCATCTATCAGCTCAAGAGAACAACATCATGCAAAGCTCTAATTTGTAAATGAATCAGATGCCAAAAGGGAGGTGCTACTGTACTGTCACGGTAAAAAGAAAAGTTTTGTGCTAACAAAAAATTCAATCATTAATATTTCCTGCCAGTAAGTTGGCAAAAGAGACTGATCAGATTGTACATTGCTGATGTAAAAATGTTAATACTGTAACATATTTTTGGTAACATTTCTTAAATTCATGTTTCTTTCAATTTCAGATTTTATCTCCTCAATACCACCAGTTGTTTTGGTTGTGTTTGTTTTGTTCCTAGTTATAACTCTGCTGCAAAGAACTCTTTTGGAACAAAGAGCAGGATGGAACAAGATGATGAATACGATCCTCAGTGCTCACTGTCAACTCTCGACAGAAGTGCAGAGGAATACAACTAGCTAGCAGTGAACAGTTTTGACCAGCTATGTCATACATGTTGATGGCAAATGAGGCCAGGAAAGCACAGACAGCAGTGTGTAAGGACCATTGCTCACGAGTATGACACAGACTCTGAATGGAGCCACTGTGGGATGAGGGTTCTATGTGATGCACTCTTATGGGAATAAAAAGTATGCACAGATACTTGGGTTTCTTTTGGGTCTCTATGGGGTCATTTCTTCTTTATTTTGGGTTGTTACTGTCTTGTATCATATGGATACAGTTTGAGTCAATAATGTAGGTTACTGGAAAGGGTGGAGGGGGTATGAGCTATGAGGGATATGGCTGCTGCTTGACTAAATAAACTAACAAGGAACAAAATGCAAAATTATAAATGTAAGAGTACACAGGATTCTTTACAACAATATACACTGGCTCAAATGAATATCTTAGTGTGAGAAGCACAAACTGCAAATATAATCAATCTGTCTGCCAGTTCAAATTTGTTTTGCCCAACCCCTGAAATTACCCCCAATATGGTATCTCTGTTGGCAGTAACACCAATTTTGATAATGGAATATTTAAAAAGACATGGAATGAGGTACCATGAGTCACACTTCAAATTTTTATTGGGCTTTATATCCTGAACATATTTTATTTTAAATTCTTTTCTTAGTCATTTTCAATTTTTACCCTATAAGAAAATTAATCTTAATGGTTGATGCAGTATCATTTACTGGGTACTCTCAGGTCTGCATTACCTAAATTCACAAACAGCCATCTGACTATAAAGCTACTGACAAAAACAGGCACTGGTTTTTTTAACACTACAGAGTCCAGGTGAGATCACGTGGGTAGAAGTCAGAACCTTAGTGCATTTCCTTCCCTCCGTCTACAAAATTTCTGGTGTAAAGAAGAAAGGACAAGCTGGTGCCGCGGCTCACTAGGCTAATCCTCCGCCTTGCGGCGCCGGCACACTGGGTTCTAGTCCCAGTCGGGGCGCCGGATTCTGTCCCAGTTGCCCCTCTTCCAGGCCAGCTCTCTGCTGTGGCCAGGGAGTGCAGTGGAGGATGGCCCAAGTCCTTGGGCCCTGCACCCCATGGGAGACCAGGATAAGTGCCTGGCTCCTGCCATCGGATCAGCGCGGTCCGCCGGCCACAGCGCACTGGCCGTGGCGGCCATTGGAGGGTGAACCAACGGCAAAAGGAAGACCTTTCTCTCTGTCTCTCTCTCTCTCTCATTGTCCACTCTGCCTGTAAAAATAAATAAATAAATAAATAAAGTAAAAAAATAAAAAAAAGAAGAAAGGACAAACACTGAATTTAATGCAAGGAGGTGGCACTTAGGTAGTCATTAGAGGTGGATCTCTACGGAGAAACCATTGTGAAGCCTCCTAAGAAAAGCCAGAAGCAAAGTTTCCTTAATTTCAGATTCTCTTTTTGGTGCCCTAGTTGCACGACTACAGGAGAGCACAGACTGGAATGTACGAGCCGACATGCCATCCACAGCAGAAGACGGAGTGCTAATGAGGGCCAGTTCCTTCTAACAAGGTGAACACCCTCAGCTGTTTACAAAGAAATAACGTGTTCTTTTACCTGTTTAGTTTTCTGCCTTCTCCCAGTACTATATAAAAACCCATACTAGCGAAAGGTAAACCTTTCTTCAATGGCTCTTTTTATTTTTTTCCTTTTCAAAGTCTGTTCTCAAATCTCAGCTCTCCCTCTCCTTCAGAAGGCCCTGACTGCCCATTCCATTCATCATACCACTGTCCAAAGATGGCCTCTGGGTGCCTCCCACTGTCTTGTAGTTAGTTTTATTCCTAGTGCATTCCTCTCAGCAGTAGGGGAACGTGGGTAACAGAGACAGTGCTGAGTAACTGCTGCAATAGTCACAGAATAAAGGAGGCGATCTCATACGTAACACACGGTGTGAAAATCGAGCCCCGTAAGGGTTTCCTACATGTTAAATAGTAACAGAGAGCTAGAACAATCACCAGGGAAGATCCTTACGGAAAACAGCCATATTTATTTCTTTCATTCTTTCTTTTTTTTTTCTTTGACAGGCAGAGTGGACAGTGAGAGAGAGAGACAGAGAGAAAGGTCTTCCTTTGCCGTTGGTGCACCCTCCAATGGCCGCCGTGGCCGGCGCACTGCGCTGATCCGATGGCAGGAGCCAGGTGCTTCTTCTGGTCTCCCATGGGGTGCAGGGCCCAAGCACTTGGGCCATCCTCCACTGCATTCCCTGGCCACAGCAGACAGCTGGCCTGGAAGAGGGGCAACTGGGACAGAATCCGGCGCCCTGACCTGGACTAGAATCCGGTGTGCCGCAAGGCGGAGGATTAGCCTAGTGAGCTGCGGCGCTGGCCCATTCTTTCATTTTTTATTTCTGAAAGGATCACCTGCTTACTTAAAAACTCTCTGAAAGCAAAGCCATTTAGCTGAAACGTGTGAGAAAGCACTGGCTGTCCAGCGGTGGTGTAGACCAGCTTGGGCAGCACAAAGGTCCGCTGTGGCAAATGGCAGCACATGTACTTGAAGAGCTCCGGGTTTGTCCACACCACCACACCGCCCGGAATGTTTTCCTTCCACAATGAGCAGATGGTATGCTCCATGATTTTTCTTTTGGACAGGCAGAGTTAGACAGAGAGAGAGAGACAGAGAGAAAGGTCTTCCTGCCGTTGGTTTACCCCCCAAATGGTTGCTATGGCTGGCGCGCTGCGCCGATCCAAAGCCAAAAGCCAGGTGATTCCTCCTGATCTCCCATGCGGGTGCAGGGCCCAAGCACTTGGGCCATCCTCCACTGCACTGCCAGGCCACGGCAGAGAGCTGGACTGGAAGAGGAGCAACCAGGCAGAATCTGGCACCCCAACCGGGACCAGAGCCCGGTGTGCCGGCATCGCAGGCAGAGGATTAGCCAAGTGAGCCACGGTGCCGGCCATGCTCCATGCTTTTTAAAGAAACATTCACTCCAGGAAAGGTAACTGGTAAAACAGAGGCCGTGTCAGGAGTGTAATTCTAATGCTGAATCCTCACCATAAAGAAGACAGAGCAGAATCACGTAGACCCTGAAAAAGTGTGAGATGGCTTGTGTCACTCTATACAGCAGACTATGTACTCCTTAAACACATTAAATAACCCAACCGATAGGTGGATTACAGACTGAGCTAGGCTGTGAGCTACACAGCAAGGACCTCGTCTGATATATAGGCACAGCCTGGCACAAAGCCTGCAACGTGGGAAGTTCTCAAATGCCCATTTAGCTGAATAGCACGTGTTCTGTACCATTACCAACACTGTTCTAAAGCCCTACTGAAGTATCTGATTTCCCAGTGAAATGAAATACTGAGCTCATGTGTAGCGAAGTTGGTTTTTTTTTTTTTTTTTTGAAGATTTATTTATGCGAAAGGGAGAGTGAAAAAGAAGGAGAGACAGAGAGAGAGAGAAATTTATTCCAGCTGCTTGTGCTGGTTCACTCCCCCGAAGAGGCTGCAAAAGCCAGGACTAGACCAGGCTGAAGCCAGGAGGCAGGAACTTCATTCTGGTCTCCCATGTGGGTGGCAAGGGCCCAAGTATTTGGAGATCATCCACTGCCTTCCCAGGTTCATTAGCAGAAAGCTGGATCACAAGTGGAACAGCCAGGGCTCAAATAGTGCTCTAATATGGGATGCTGGTGTCTCAAGCACTGGCTTAACCCATAGTGCCACAATGCTGGCCCCTGGAGCTGGGATTTAACCCAAAACATTGGATCCTGGGGTCTGTGGTCTGACTCAGAACACTCAGACACTAGCATTTATTGAAATTTAAGTTTACCAAGAGCTGGTTCCAGCTTGCCCCTCTTGCCTGGATGCTACTCCTCCACTTCCGGGGGCCTCCTCTGCCTTGGACTCTATCCATCACCATCTGAACCTCAGGTTATATCCTTCCTTGCACAGACTCCAGAGCTCTGTGCAAACTCCACTTCCGTCCTCTAAGTCATCCGCACCTCATCACTTCTCAACCACAGCCTTCATCAATGGCAAAGCCTGGCCTGGGTCTCCTCCGCGGGCTCTCTTGCCCATCTTTTCTTACCCAGGATCATCATCCTGGTCCAGACGCCGGTATCACTCACCTAAATCACTTATAACCCCCCTCTCTCTGGGCCCCTCAACTAGAAGCAGAAATTTTTGCCTTCCTTTAGGATGCTCTACTGGAAGCCAGCAGATACAATCAGTAACAACAGGGGCTGGTACTGTGATGTACTAGGTTAAGCATCCGCCTGTGGCACTGGCATCCCATATGGGTGTCAGTTCAAGTCCTGGTTGCTCCTCTTGGGATCCAGTTCCTGTTGATGCCCTTGGAAAGTAGAAGATGGCCCAAGTGCTTGGGCCGCTGTTCCCATGTGGGAGACCTGGAAGAAGCTCCCGGCTTCTGGCTTCGGATTGGCTTGGTTCTGGCCATTGCAGCCAACTGGGGAGTGAACCAGCGGATGGAAGATCTCTATCTGTCTCTCTGTCTCTCTCTCTATAACTCTGCCTCTCAAACAAATAAATCTTCAAAAAAATTAATAACAGCAATAATAAATACAATCACGAAACATAGCACTCCAAGCACATCACACACACTTAAGCTCATTTCCGCTTCACCATAATTCTGTGAGGCTTTTCCCATTTCACAGACCATAAAACTGTGGTCCAGTAAGGCTGAGCAGCCTGCGCAAGGTCACACAGCAAGCTCAGTGGAGGGGCTGGGCTCTGGACTCTGGCAGAGTTACTCCAGGGTCAGTACTCTTCATCGCCATATTTTCTCTCTCAAGCAAGTGGAAATATTGCCCCTCTCAGAGCACCCTCAAAGAGCTCCTACTGCTCACCAAATATCCTTGGGTTTCCTTGGCGGGGATGTGACTACTTCTGGCCAATGAGTTTGTGTGTGGTGGTGATGGTGGTGGTAGGGGATTGACAAAAGTCACTTCAAGGCTGAAGCCATTGGAGAGCAACGACAGACGTTCCATCCGGCTCTTTTCTCCTGCCACAGTGACCGTAGATTGTTTTGACGGAGGGACCCTGAATGAGCACGTGCAGAACTCCCAGCCCCGTGCCCCACCCTCCTACGCTGGACAAGCAGCAACTGAGCGGCACATTTACGGAGCAAGCTGCAGGGATTCCAGGCTTCATCTGCGGCTGCCAACGTAAGCTAGCGTGTTTAGGTTTTTCAGTGTTTGACCAAGCTGGAGTGAAAAAACCAGTGCACAGCGAGTAAGAAAAGCCAAACGCAGACACTATCCAGTTCTCCTGGGAATCAATGCATCTTCCTTAATCCCACTTTCATTCTGTCATTTCATGCACAAGGACAGAGAACAGTTCCCCGCGGTCTACCACATCAAGTTCAACTTCCTCTCCTGCACTTTCAAGTCCCTGCAT